ACGAAATTTCCGTTCCGATTGGTGATTGGTGGCGTGAGAAGCTAGGCTTCTTCTTTCGCTGGAATATCTTTTTGATCTGTGTTGTTTTTTTCGTTGCGATGCACAAACTCGATGCTATTGGAACCGTCGGAAAGGGGAAGGGGGTGTGTGTCGTCGTATGTGAGACCCAGAAAAGGACCCGCAGATATTGGGCACCGCAATCGAGATGGGCAAGGTTTCCAGGTTCCGGTTTCCCATTCCACTGCTTCTCCTCCCGCTTGATTTCCGCAATTCCGACGTGCGAATAGAAAAGCAGGCGAGAAATAACAATAAGGAGGTTTCATGGCCAGTTGCGTGTCGTGAATTGAGGAATAGTTGGATCAATACGGGGTTGGGTCCTTCAAGGTGAAACCGGCCACGGAGTGTGTTGTAACTTTCCCAACCCACATCGGAACAGAGAGACAGAAGGGAAACAGAAAAGGAGCGGTAACATGTCGGGTTTGCTGTGTCGTATATTGTTTTGTTGGGCCGATAAAAAGAAAGTAGAAAGCCCCGCGTCGTAGTTGTTGTCGATGGCAAAAGATAAGAAAGCAGAAATCGTTCCGAATACTTAGACAGATAACCCTAAAATAACCATCATGGGAAATAAGCCGGTGGGAGAAGACAACGTTGATTCATTCCAGAGACTTGTGCTTTTTTGATGTTTTAGCGCGATACAGGAGCGGGCCAGCCAAAAGAGAGAGAGGTGGAGGTAATAGATTACGCGACGGTCCGCTTGATGGTTTTAAAGATAGGTAGACGATGGCCAAACGATTGGGTCCTACGCCGCTGAATGCCCGGGCCACCACCGTCGGCAAGAGTGTCGTCCTCGTCGCCTTCGTCGCGCAGATGCTCTTCTTCCAGAATAGTTTCACGGACGGGAGACGGGTGGCCAGACGGAGGCGGAGAAAGAAGCTGCTGGTGCTGCATCTGGAAGGACGCTGGGCCAGAATAGTAACCGCCAGCCGAAGTGGAGGACGAAGGAGGAGAGGAAACCATACCACCTCCATTGTTTCCACCACCAGATTTCATCGCCAGATACTGCTGGTGGCGGGCGGCATTCAGTTGCGTGTAGTAGTCACCGGCAGCATACTGGTCTTGGGGAAGCGGACTGCCTGGAAGGTATCCGCTGAAAGACTCGGACCGATTCTTGCCCCAAGGTCGAACGTCAGGAGGTACGAACCCAGCCGGCTGAGTGACGGAGCGAGAGCGGCGAGTGCGCTCGCGAGGTGGAGTTGCAAGTGCCGACGCATTGTCGTTGGGTATATACTCTCCGTTCTCATCGACATCGCCGCCGCCGCCTGCGGCATTCAAGGCGTTGTGCATCACCGAATTAGGAATATGGCGAAGAGAGGATGGGTGCTGCTGAGACTGTTGATACTGTTGTTGATGGTGGTGGTGTGGGTATATGTTGCCATCGACTTGAGCATCTCCGTAGTGAGAATCGTTGCGAGGATCTACCGTGCTCAGACGGCGGGCTTCGGCATAGGCAGAGGCGTTCTGGTTCATGGCCAGTTCTGTGTGGCTGCTGGACGATCCAATGTGAGTGTTGCGCATCATCAGCGACAAACGATCCATCGCATTCGGAGCGCCATGCATGTATCCTTCCGCGATCGGCGACACCACCTCATTGGCGTTGGACGGACGGCGGCCGGAAAAGTAGGCGTCTGCAATCGCGCGGTGATCATACATTTGGGACGCGGTGGGCGACGTGAGGGACTTTTGGCCATTGCCATTGCTAACTTTATTCTCGCGCATGTCGCCGCTCGTGCCGTTACCACCCGCGTTGCGAAGACTTCCAGTAGACATGGTGCGGGCCCTAGTGCGCGCCTGGTTCGCGGTCTGCTGGTCGACCTCCTCGGTGGGACTTTGTAATCCATCCGCGGTCTTGTCGCCACCACTGTCGCCTCCGCTTCCTTTCATGTTCCTTTCTACATTTTCGGTATGGATGAAGCAGCAGCGCTTGCCGTACGGACAGGTTCCCTTTTCCCAGAATGTTTTGCACATCTCGGTCTTGTATTTTGGATGACGGTCCACTGGGCGGAGTTCTACCTGCGAATGCGCAAACTGACATTTTGTTCCGTACCGGCACGTGCCAGTTTCTTCCCACGATCGACACAACTCGGTCTTGTACAGGCTCATTTTCTTGAGTTCTCGGTCCATCTTGTGCGAGGTGCCAATGCTCCCATTGTCTGAGGTGGCCAGTCCTTCAGCGTAGAGAGCTGGGCCAGTAGCAAGGGAGGCATCTGCTGTGGCCGAGCGTCTACGGGCATACTGTTGTTGCGGTCGGGCGGCCGGCGGAGGCGTGGCATTGGGAGTCGGAAGAGGAGGATCGGCATACGACAAAGGAGCTGTCATGTATCTGGCGGGGTGAACGTGACCAAGAGAACCACCACCTAGCTGTGCCTGGTGGTGGTGGTTGTGGTGGTGCAGTTCCGGTTCCAATGCCAGATTGTGATGCGATTTGGGATAGGCCAGCAGCGGCTGTTGAGAGTGAGGATGGGAATGTCCACAGTGAGGGACCGCTCCGACGGGAGAAAGAGGCTCGTACGACATGGTTCCTTGTTGGTAGGCTCCAAACCGAGGTGCCGCGACGCTTTGGTGATGATGGTGGTAAGACTGGTTGTTGTGACCCGTAATACCATGACTGTCGCCTGGGAAGAGTAAAGAAACAGGTTGAGTTTCCGATTTAGAGATCGGCAAGAAGAGCAGACTCTGTCCGTCTCAACATCCGTCGCGGAACACAAGCAACCACGACGATAGACGAATTCCGGTGAGGACATTTGATGTTCCCATTCTGCCAAAACTGATCAAATGCCCCCGGCGCAAACCTCTTCCAAGAAATATTACGCTCTGTTTGTCAAAGTCTACCGCCACCGGCCAGCCTTGGTTTCCCAGACCGATCTTCCATTCTGACTGACAGTTATAACAGAGTCACAGGAAGGCCCAACTCACCTTCGGGACGAGAATAGTCCAATTGTCCGTCAGCTTGTTCGTTGCGAGGAGTCGGAGCAGCGGTAGAAGCCGTATTAGGACTAGGAGCAGGGTGTTGATAAGCAGTCAGAGCAGTGACGGAACTGGTGCGGGTCGAGTTTCTGCGGATGCTCGTATTGGCATGATAAGTGTCCTGGCCTTCTCCTTGGGCTTGCTGTTGTCCTTGTAGCTGTGGGTTGTGGTGGTGGTTGTCGTAGCGAGGCTGTTCGAACATTGTAGAAGCTGAGACACTGGTGGGAGTATTGGCTGACGTCGAGTTGAGTCGAGACCTCGAGTGCAACAGGATGCTCATGGGAAGCCCGGGGGTTGTGTCACCAAGCAGTTGTCGAGAGAGAGAACGAGAGAGAACGAGCGAGGTGTTTCTTGTGTTGCAGTGGGTAGTGAGTTTCGATTGGAGGAGCTGTAGTTTGGAGTAGGGGAGTCAAAAGGTAGAGACAGGTGTCAAACGGGGGACGTAGTCGGCGTCAGAGAGTTGGAAGGGGGACTGCTGGGTGGGGAGGGCGAAATGAGTCAGTTGAAGGAGGCTATGAGAGAGATAGAGAGTCAGTTGCGGCGGCGAGCCATAGAATAGAAGGGCGGTGGTTGAGAAGGAGACAGCGGGGGGGAGGACTGGGAACACAGGGTGGGAATGGCGAGTGGGAATGGAGTGAGCGGGCAGGCGGGCAGGAGGCAGGTGGAGCGGGTTGGGCAGTGTTGCGTGCGGGTGAGAGAGTACGGGTACCGGTATTCGTGACTGGCGTTAAGTGTAAGTGTGACTCTCTCCGTGTGTGCCGCGCCTAAAAGTGAACTACTCCGAGTCGCCCCAAATAAGAAGGTTGTGCATTTACTACCACCACCTTCAATCTATCAATGGAGTGTGCACGGAGATATCACTGGAGAGAGAGAGAGAATGTACCTTCCTAGTAGCGATACCTATAGTCTACACACACACACACACACTGGCATATGTACACGCAGAAAAGCCCCAATAACAACAAATGCGGCAAATTGTCATGTCACAAAAGCCCCGCCCTAACAAAAAATGTGGCAGAAGCAACCCATACTACCCCCCCTCTGCCGCAAAGCCTCAAGCATCGTCATATATCGATACTAGGCATGTATGTAAATGCAATCCGCCGGTCCAGCCACCAGCCGCTGCTCATTCGTTCTGCGGTGGTCTGCGTGGGACTCACTGACCTGGCTGGCCCCTCACACGCCTCCGTGGTGCAACCCACGCCGCGGTTATGGTCTCTCGCTGGCGTGCCCTCACAAACACACACTGATCATCGATGCACAGAGTATCAACAACCAACCACTTGGTGCCCTTGCTCGGGTCGATCTGCAGCCAGAAACACAATACACCAGTTGACACCACCAGCACGACTTTGGTTGCATACATTGTCACGAGGTGTGTCAGTCACCGCGCACGTTTTTGCTGCTGCCGCCCATAAAGCGACGGAAAGAAATGATCAAGAGAGATTGGAAAGTATGGCTATGGAAATATGAATCTGATTGGGAGTCACGTACAGACATATATTTACACGAATGACAAATGTGTGGAGAAAGAGAGAAGGAGACAGAGAGACACGGCTTTTCTTGACGGATGATGCCTTCCTTGTCTCTGTCCTACGAGAATCTGACGGGCTGACTAAAGGTGGATTCATTGATTCAAGCCCATACCATATTATAGCATCCAAAGATCCAAGAACCTCCTCATCAATGGACTCGTTCAATCGTTCGTGACTTTACGCCATTCCCACAAAACATGGTGCAGCGGCAGAAACCACATCCAGCCTCCTCTCTCTCTCTCTCTCTCTCTCTCTCTCTCTCTCAGTCTCTCCTTAGAGTCTTCTCTCTTGTTGGTTTGTTATCAACAATGATGACACTCGCGTATCGCTACAACCGCCTCCGGGTGTCTTTTATCGTGTCTGCGGCTTGACCTATCACCCGCGAGCCACGTGAGTATAAGCCACGTTCAAGATTGCAATGCAAGGATTCCTCACATCCAGGGCGAGATGGCCGAGTTGGTCTAAGGCGTCAGGTTAAGGCCCTGATCTCTCCGGAGGCGTGGGTTCAAATCCCACTCTCGTCACATAACTTTTTGCATTCTTTTCCCAACGTTGATTCTCTCAACGCGTAAACTGTACGGTAGTTTTCGCAATCGCATCCCCTTTCATCTCGACATCGTTGACGACAATAAAAGCAACACCATAATGACAGACGCAATCACAGGTAAATCGCCCCGGCCTCCTCTCACCACCCCACCCACTCATCACTGTCTCCTCCTCCCCACAGGCCCCACCTCCCCATCCCTCCTCCGCCTCCTCGCCTCCCTCTCAGGCTTCTCCGCCGTCGCACTCGGCGCATTCGGGGCGCACGCACTCGCCCCGCGCCTGTCTCATCTCCCCGTTGCCGAGTCCACCAAACTGCTCTCCAACTGGCGCACGGCAGCAACGTACCACCTTATCCACTCGCTTGCCCTCCTGTACGTCTCGGACCGCGCCGAGATGCGACCCGGTGGGAAGACGGACCTCGCGGGCTACCTCTTTGCGGTCGGGAATGTTCTGTTTAGTGGGAGTATCTATGCCCTCGTCTTGGATCAGCGACGCAGCTTGCCGAGGAAAGTCTTGGGGCCCGCCACACCCGTTGGAGGCTTGTGTTATTTGGCCGGCTGGATCGCGCTGTATTGGTGCTGAGGAGTAACTGAGGGAGACGGGAGCTTGACCCCATTGGCAAGAAAATTCGCGGAAAAACGCCACCTTGTTGGTTGAACGAATGGGGGCCATGCAGTGTAGTGTAGTGTAGTGTATCGATTCATCACATATACGCGTGCCTCTGTGTTTGATAGGGAGACTTACTTGTACATACATCTAGCTGGAGCAATGTGAAACACATGGAACGAGCTTGAATCTTTAGCACGACGAGAATCGACGTTTCCTCGTTTCGCCATCACCGATTCGCACAATTCCTTTTCTCAAAAGACTTCAATTATATTCGAGGTTTGTGTATACATATATACATCAAGCGAGTGAAGAGCCGTGACGGGAGTTGTAGCGAGAGCGGTGAAAGAAAAAAACAAAAATAAAAAGAGGAGACACACACGGAAAGAGAGAGAGAGCGCGGGAAGGGGGAAAACGGGGGGATACAAAGGCCCACAGAGATTTGGAAGAAGAAGAAGGAAAAAGAAAGAAAAAAGAAAAAAAGTGCAATCGACCGACACACAATGAATCCCAGCAACGAGTATTCAACACGCTTGCGTTTTGGTATGTTTCATCATGTTTCGTGGCGTCGTGCTTGGGTTGTCGCATTAATTAATTTTGGGAAGTGGGATACATTTCCGAAGGGTTGACGGCCGTTGCTGGTGGGGGGTATACTCTACTGTTTTTATTCATTCTTTTTTTTTTCGATTTCATTGGGCGGCGACAGTGTTGTTGCTGGCCTTGTTGTCGCTGTGGGTGTGGTCCGCCACGTTATTGCTCGACCCGTCATGTTGGTGTCCATTTTCGCGCCCTCGCGTCGCAGCGACAGATCCCGGTTTCGCAGATGACGAGGCCGGACCCTGTTGCTGTTGCTGTTGTTGTTGTTGTTGTTGTGGTGACGACTGGACGTCTTGCTCCGATCCATGCGAGCGGCCGCCGCTGCTGTGATGGTGAGGCTGGTGGTGGTGGTGACGATGCGGCAGGCCCTGTGATGAGGATTGCGACTGGCGCTGCTGCTGCTGCTCGGTGGTGTTGTACGAATGCAGTGGAATGCCCGAAGGCGTTGGCGAGCGCGACCGGTACAGTGGCTGCTGCTGCGGCTGAATTTGTCGCTCGTCCTGTTCTCTCCCTACTGGCGCAGCTGCTGCCGGTATCGACATTCCTGCTGCCGCTACCGAATTGGAGGCGGGATACGCCGGTGACGGGTGAGCGTGGTGCGATGCCGAAGCGGCCGATCCAGACTGGGGCGAAGGTGGACGCTGCGCCTGAAGCGGCTGCTGTTGCTGCTGATGCTGGGACGAGTACTGTCCCAGCTCTTCCAGTCCCTGCTCAGACGGATGTTGATGCTGCGAGTACGCTTGATGTGGATAATGAGGCTGATGATGCTGAGAGTACTGAGAGGGATGCTGGTGCTGTGGCTGATGCGCAGTTTCGTAGGGACCGGGATCACGGTACTGCTGCTGCTGTTGATGTTGTGAATGATGATGAGAGGAACGTTCCTGTTGCTGCAGATGGTGCGGCAATGGGCGATGCTGTATGGTGCCTGGTTGCCCAGGGGCCGACCGGTTATCGACACCGTAGGCACCACCTCCATGGTGGTGAGCCGCATGATGTGAATCACCCGGACCAGGCGGTCGGTGAGAAAGATGGGGCGCCGTGTGTTGCGGCGTGTAAAGCGGATACTGTTGTTGCTGTTGCTGAGGCGGCAGCTGCGGTTGTTGCTGTTGTTGGAGCGGCGGTAGCCCCTGCTGCTGCTGCGGTTGATAGTACTGTTGTTGCGGATCTGACCCCGCAAGACCAGCCGACGACGGATGAGGAGAGTAGACCGATTGTTGTTGGTGGGGTTGAGGATGGTGCGCCTGGTGCATCGGGTACCCAGCCAAAACCGACGGAGGAGGAAGTCCAGTGTGTCGACTATGCATGGAGTGAGACTCATCTCCCGTCACCATCCCGCGAGGCGGAGGTGGAGTCATGGGTATTTGATGGTCGCCACTGCTGGTGTTGCCGGCAGCGTGATCCATGCCAGGAGACATGGGGTAGTCGTTGGACGCGTGGCCACCGCTTCCCGTCTTGTGGTGCATCAAAGCGTAGTGTCCAGGCGCGCGGCCACGGACGACGAGAGGAGCCGATTCGGTAAACGCAATCCGGCAGCGGCCCTTGTCAGAAAACTCGGCATAGAGCTCGGCCACAAGCACATGGTACTGCTGAGCTGCGCGTCGCTTTCCGTTGTTGGCGGTGGCTGCTTTGAACTGCAGGCGGTCAAAGGTGACTGTATGGAACGTGTCGACTGGAGCGCCCGAGCCCAGGCCGTAGCCATTGGGAGAGTCCTGGGGCTGGCAGAGTCGCGATTCGGGAACGAGCTGCGGACCCTTGTCGCGCTTGGCCGTGTGCTGCACTAGCTCCACCTGCCGTTGCCCGTTAGACGTTCGTGCCGTTATGCCGACGTGAAACGCGGTGACAGTCTGGAAACGGCCGTCCACAGCGACGATGCAGGGCAATTCCACGCGCTGCCCAACATGGTCGATGGCTGAGAAGCCCATGCTGACTTGAAAGTAGTTGCGTCTGTAGCAGGTCCAGTCACCATCGGCAACGAAAAAGCCGCGCTCGACGCGTGGATTCAATCGCAACATGTAACTATGGCAGAGAGCAAGGGATAGCAGTGATGATGAGTCTTGGCCTTTACGATAATGGAAAGATCAGGAAAAGCTCTGGATCCCTTCACTTACGATTTGGAACGATCCATATTGTACACCGCGCATGACTGCGTGGTCGGACGCCAGTACGGAGCAGCTTCCTGCCACTGCTGATGATGGAGCAAGACCGACTCGTGCTCTGCTCTCAAAACATCTCTGGAGATGCCGGGAATCACGGCAATGCCGCCCGGAGCACCATAAGGGCTGGCGCTGAGCGGAGCACCGCCTTGTTCGCGAGCCTGTTGTTGTTGCGAGGCGCCGGCGGCAGCAGCCAGTTGCTCGGGACTGCCGTTCCTGTCGGGACCGAAACGCGGCGCAGGGAGGTGGGGTTGTGGATGGGTGGGATACAGAGGACCGGGTGGAAGAACTACATGACGATGTAAATACAAAGCACATATGGGACAGCAGTATGTGAGCAAAACATCTACGTGTAGACAAAAAAGAAAGGAACGCGTCGCAGACATTTGTACTTACGTTGTCCGACATGTGGCGGCGCGGCACTGTGCTGCTGCGGCGGCGGATAAGACGAAGACATGGCCGGATGGTAAGCTTGCTGAGGCAAAGGTCCAGGAGCAGCGGTGTTTGTTCGGATAGCTGGCAATGGCGGAGGAGGGGTCTGGTTTTGTGGTTGCTGTTGGTACGGTGAATACGGTTGTTGATGGTTGTCGCTATGATGAACGTGAGCAGCCAGCGCGGGTGAACTTGGCGACGCCGACTGTTGCTGGTGCTGCTGCTTGGAAGGGTGGAGGCTCCCGGCCGTCGGAGGACGGTTCGAGACGGCATTGACGGAATCTCCGCCTGCAGGAATGGTGGAGGGCGTTGGTGATTTCATTTCGGAAGCATCCACAGGTGCAGGTGTTGCCGGCGGTTGTTCTTCTGGGGATATTGTTGAGGCTGATGACAATGAAGGCTCAGCGACGGGAGCAGCAGCTGCCAGTGGGGAAGGCGAAGGGGTAGAGGTAGTACTAGGAGCGGGAGGAGCTGAAGGTTGAGCGGCCCTGCTGGTTACAGTTGCAGTTGCAGTTGCTGATGCCGGTGATGATGGTGATGCGACACTGGCAGTTGTTACAGCAATGATCGTTGCAGCAGCACTTGGTGTGTCCGTGGGGACCTTGTCTGCCAGAGCCAAAGCGTGATGAGCCTGGAGGGAACCAGCAGGAGGCGGAGCGCCAGGGTCGGACTCCTTTTGATGGAGTGGTAAATTGGTGTCGCCAGGAGATGACATGGCGACGGAGCCGTTTCTTTCTGAAGCGAATGCTGATATCGTGGGAAAGCGGCTCAGCTGAGGCGGAAGGAGGCGTCGAAGGTTGTTGGACGGGGGTTGCCAGTAGTCTCACGGTAGCGTGCTTGTTTTGTTGTTGTAGGTCTTTTTTGCTGCGGGTAATGTGGTAGGGAGGTGTTGACCTTCCGCGCAAAGGGTAATGAGAGCGAGTTTGATTGAGAGTCGTACTGGGTGAGACAAAAAAAAAAAGAGGCGAGGCGAGGCGAATTGGGAGGGAGGGAGGGAGTGATGAGAGGAAATGAACGCGCGGAGGGCCAGGCGAAAGGGCAAAGCGAAGGGTCAGACAGAAGACAGAGAGCGAAGGGAAGGTGAGACAAGCACTTTCGATGAGTTGACTGACTGACAGTGACAGATGACTGACTACTGTACTCTGCGCTACCGGTAATAATAGCAATAATAATGAGAATAATGATGGTGA